AAAAATAACATTAAAAAAGTCTAGATCAGGACTAAGAAAAAGTAGAAAACTTAGTATGGTTGCCATGACTAAGTATCACATTTATCTTTGTGCTTCCTAAAAGCCAAGGAAAATAAAAGTCAGTTAGTTTTTACTATGTATATTATGTGCCAGGAACTTTGCTAGGTGCTTTGGCTTTACATCTATCTTTAAAACAATCATGGCAAGTTGGTGTTAGAATCCTCATTTTACTGATGAAATTAATGAGGTTGGAAAACCTATCTTGCACCGTGTCACAAAACTACACTCCTAATGGAGCCAAGATTCAAATCAAGGACTCTCTGACTTTATAGCTAGTACTCTTAAATAGTTCTGGTCAGATAGGATACAATGTAATAATTCCAAAGTGATAAAGGTTTTTAGGCATTAGATTATAAATTAAATTTCTGTGTGACACTGTATAAAAGGGACATTGAGCAATATGATGAACAGTGCCCTTCATAATAGATTTACAATAAATGCAGAAAGGACATCCATAAAGCTGTTAGGCTATCATTAATGACCTTTGATAACTGCCTGAAGCATAATATTAAAGTGCAAGTGAAACTGATTCAGCAAATCCTAAGCTAATATAATCTTATGATACAGTGTTCTGGTGTAAGGTGATTCAATAATAAAACTGAAAGTATGTGAATCAACCTTCAGAATGCTAACTATTATATTTTATTAGCAAAGGTTTGGATAGAAGCTGAATTCATTTGTTCATTCATTCAGCAAATGTGCATGCACATTTATGCACCAGGCACTGTGCTAGGTTCTCAGGAAACAAACATATATTTTTTAAGTGTTTCTACTTCAATGGAGTTTGCAGTTATTTAAGAATTAGTCAAGCCAAAAACTACAATAAAGTAAGTTAATTACTATAATGAAAATATGTTCATATTGTATAAAAGAAGATGCCCTTAAACCTATCTGGCAGAGTTAAAGAGTTTATCATAGTGGAGTTATGTTTGAGATGAAATTTGAGGGATGAGTACAAATTTTAGAGACATACAAGAGGATAGTGGGCAATCTGGAGAGATAAAATATATTAAGGTTATATTCACTGATGATGTCTCAAAGGGCAGTAGTATATATTGTTCATTACAGGCAGACTCATAGGCTGGAGAATCCAGACACTAACAGTAGTATAATTTACTAAACATTTGTTTGTATCAAATTATAAAGATAAAAAAGTTAATTTTTCAATGGGTAGAATGAGGCAATGAGAGGTCAAGTAAGATGCTTAAGCCATATAGTTCTTTAAAAGGGCCCATTTTATGACCAGTTGATGTGTTTTTCTCTCATGTGGATATTTCTCTCTTTCTCTTCTTCCCTCTCCCCCTCTAGCTCTATCTGAAGATAAATGCAAAAATGCCTTGGGTGAGGATAAAAATAAAATAAAATAATAAAATAAAATGGCACATTTTAGCAATGACTGTGCTAATTTAATGTGATAAGGTTGCCATCTTATGAAGGTTGAGAAGCTTTACCAATATTTGCATCCAGATAACAAGGCATCCTACTTTCTCAAAGTGGTAATATGCAGGGATACCATCAGGCAAAATTGGACTTTGTTTAGGATGCACATTCAGATCAATTATAGTGTGCCTGGACAAGTGCTCCCCTCAGACACCTAAGTTCTACCAAAGCATGGCATGGATGGAGTTGGTTTAGAACAATGATAAAAACAGTAGTTAATAAGCACTTTTCATGAAGGAAGAAAACGTGAAATTTGATACAGAGAAAAATTTCCCATTGTTTTACTATGATACATTAGTTGTGAAATGCCCCCCATCCTTAATATGAAAGTAACAACATGAGTTATATGCTGCTAGAAGCAATTTTGAACTGAATATAGCTGAGTTTTCAAAGATAAGTGCCAAAAACAGGGCTTAAGATTTTACTTAAATATTGAGGCATTCTTAGTAGTAATTTGTTAATAAGGCTACTCTAGTTCTTGACAGTAAAACCATGCCATCAATATACACAGACACTCAATATTTTGTGCACACCATCTGCACTGGGAAATTCAATCTATCTACAAATTGTGTGTTAAAGGCAATGACAGCTAAACTGTGGCACTCTTTGATATCACTTGAAACAGTAATATTTCAAAGGATGATGGCAGTTTCCTCTGATCATTACATGGTATTAAAATGCCCATTTAAGGTAAGGGTTAAATGTTGATGTTCTGCTTGAAACCTTTCATCCCAGTAAATCTGATCCTTCAAGTTATAGTGATCAACTACACAGACCTATGTCATTTCAGGCAGTTGCCTCCACAGCTGAAAGACAACACAGTAATGTTTGACAGCAGAGTATTCTACTTCCAGTTTTGTATAATGTTTTCTAGGGCTGCCTATTACATCAGTTGATCCAGAGTTTTGCAGGAATGGAGGGTTAACTTTTGGAAAAAATTAAATGGAATATACTTTGAATAGATCCAGAGGAAATCAAAACTCAAGCAGCCTAAAAGTAAACAATTTTAAAGACTCTAAAATGTCAGGTAGTAAAGGGTCTTCCCTTGAAGCTATATTAAATTAGAGGTAGCTGAAAAAATAGTGTGAAGAATTGGGTTCTGACATATCACTTAAACAGAGATCCAGGGTCTCTAAAATTTCAGTCAGCATCATTCAACAACTATTCAGTATTTCTATGACATGCTAAACACAGGAGACACAATAGAGAGCACAGTGGATATTGCCTTTGCCTTCATGGAGTTTTTGTTCATTCCTTACGTAGATAGATACAGACATAAAATAGTCACAGAAATAACCATGCATTTTCACGTGGCAAATGTCATGAAGTACAGTTATGGGGAGCTCCATGTATAATAGATCTAACCTAGTCTGGGGGGGGGGGGTGTCAAGGAGCTTTTCCCTAAGAAAGTGACACCTTACCTAAAATCTGAATGATAAGGAGTTAACAAGGTAAGGATCTGGGTAAAAGGTGGTAAGACCCACAGGTACAAAGCATTCCAGGCAGAGAGAACAACATGCAAAAAAAAAAAAAAAAAAGGATCTCAGGCATGAAGCTAAGTAATACTATTGAGAAAATTAAAAAGGACCAGTGTGTATGGAATAAAACAAATAATAAATAGAAGGTAGAAATGTGGCTGGAGAATTCGGCTCATATCGTGCAGGGTCCTATAGGCTGCATTAAGTATTTTGCTCTTCATCTTAAGACAATAGGGAAATATTGGTTAATTTAAATGGGTGCAGTGACATAGCCATATTTGTACTTTGAAAATATCACTCTGGTTGCAGTGTGGTGAAGTGAATGGAGGAGGGCAAGAATGGTTGCAGGAAAATGAGGAGACTACTGCAGTTGTCAAGACAAAACAGTGGTAGCAGTGGAGATGGTGAGAATTGAATGGATTAGAAAAATGTTAGAAGATAGATAATGATCCAAAGATAAGGAAGCATTATGTGTCAGAGATCATTCTTAGGTCTCTGGTTATTCAGCTGGATGGATGGCGGTGCTATTCATTAAGACAGAAAACAATAAATGATTAGGTGCCCAGAAGTTGAAACCAAAATTTGAGTTTATACATGCTAAATATGAAGTTCTATTTTGATAGGCAAAATGTCAAGTAGGAAGTTGCACATGTCAGTTTAGGATGGAGTTATACAAAAATTAGGAGACACTGGCATATATGATATAGATGAAGCTAGTTGCAAGTCAGTATCTAAGTTAGGGAAAACAATAACTGGGTATCTACATCTAGTTAAAACATTACAGAGCCTGGGATAGAATAAAGATAATACAAGGGCTATATATACAAATGTAGGCAATATGTCAAAATATTTTAAAGGACAACCGTGCTTTACATCTATATACAAAATATCAGAAATGATTGTGTAATCTTATTTCTGAAGACAGATGCCCTTATACCTGAAAATCTGCTCCAATTCATAAATCTGTATTTGGAAGAGCAATGAACTTTGTTGGCATATTTTCATTCATGCCTTCCTTTATGCTTCATGTGCCTGTCTGATATTAGACCATGATCCAAAGACTTTTTTTCAGTACTTCTGTTCAATTTAACTACTATGAACAGGTGGTCAGTGCCCAAGACCAGAGGGGCTGCAGAACAGATCTAAGGAGGAGGGTCTCTATGCCTCTGCCAAACACCTCCATCACCTATCAAGTTTACTATCTAATTGTAGCAAAGGGTCTCCAAGGATTGCACCAAATGCACATTTTTTTCCTCGACAAGCAGTTTTCTGGGCTCCTTCTAGCCACATACTTGACCACATTTTAGCTTTCACATAATATTTAAGTAGGCATTTTAAGAAGGGTGGTTGAGCCCTGGCCGGTTTGGCTCAGCGGTTAGAGAACCGGGTTCGGTTCCCGCTCAGGGCACATACCTCTATTGCAGTTTGTCCCCGGTCCTGGTTGGGTCCCTGGTTGGGTCCTGCGGGTGGCAGCCACTCGATGTGTCCCTTTCATGTGGATGTTTCTCTCTCTCTCTCTCTCTCTCTCTCTCTCTCTCTCTCTCTCTCTCTCTCTCTCTCCCCCACTCTGAAGCACTGTCCCAGGTTATCTTCCGCGTGGGCTCCATCCTCCACCCCACCCCACCCCTCGGACCCACCCCTCCCACCCAGGCGTGTGCTACTATGCATTGCACCCCAGCTCCCTGCCAGCACCTCCAGCTGCCTCCACCTCCTCCTTAATGGCCTCTTGCGTGGTCCTCTTCTCACATAGATTGCGCTCCTGGCTCGCTGCCAGCCTTACTTACCGTCCTCTCCTAGAACCGCGCCACCGCCCACCCTGCCTCCCTCCGCCCACGCCCCAGTCCTTCTTGCCCTAGTTCCTCCCAGTTCCGCCTGGGACTCGGAGGCCCCGTCATCCCCGCCACTAGCAACGCTGGTGCCACATGCCGCTGCCGCCGCCACTGCCGCCGCCGCCACCGCCATTGCCACAGCCTCACCACCACCGCCGCCACCATCACCGCCCCCACTCGCTCGCCATCCACTATGGCCACGGAGCAAACTGGTAGCAGGAAGCGGAAAGTGCCCACCATTGAGGGTGCCTCCTTATGCTCGTCGTCGCAGGGTTTGGTGGCGACTGACGGCGAGGGTCCGCTGCTGCCCAAGAAGCAGAAGCGTCTGGCAACACAGCTCTCGCTGGTGCCCTACCTGAAGGGCCGGAGGTGAGCGCGAGGGGCCATACAGGGCTTCCGGGCTTCCAGGGCGAGCTGCGCGGCTACGCGGTGCAGAAGCTGCCCGAGCTGCTGCGAGAGCGCGCGCTGGCCCTGGGCACTCTCAACAAGGTGTTCGTGTCACAGTGGCTGAACGCCAGGCAGGTGGTGTGCGGCACCAAGTGCAACACATTGTTCGTGGTGGACGTGCAGTCAGGCCACATCACGCGCATCCCACTCATGCGGGACCGGGAACCTGAGCTTTCCCAGGACCAGTCGAGCTGTGGCATCCACGCCATCGAGCTGAATCCCTCGAAGACGCTTCTGGCCACCGGGGGCGAGAACCCCAGCAGCCTGGCTGTCTACCAGCTGCCCACCCTGGATCCAGTGTGTCTGGGTGACCGCCATGGCCACAAGGACTGGGTCTTCACCGTTGCCTGGATGAGTGACACAGTGGCTGTGAGCGGGTCCCGCGACGGTACTGTGGCTCTATGGAGAATGGATCCCGACATGTTCAATGGTAACATCGTCTGGCACAATGACACAGAGCTCCCAGTGTATGCCCACATCTGTCCGAGGAACATGGAGACCATCCCCACGTCCAGCACCAATCCCAGTAACCGAAAGGTGAGAGCCCTGGCATTCAGTGGCAAGAATCAGGAGCTGGGAGCAGTGTCCCTAGATGGCTACTTCCACCTCTGGAAAGCCCAGAGTACCCTGTCCAGGCTGCTGTCAGGCTGCCCTACTGCCGAGAGAACGTGTGCCTGACCTACTGCGAGGATTTGTCCCTGTTTGGAGTGGGGTCCCAGTCCCATGTCTCCTTTCTGGATCCGCGCCAGCACCAGCAGAACATCCGGCCCCTGTGCTCCAGAGAAGGTGGCACTGGCGTGTGCTCACTGAGCTTCTACCAGCACATCATCACTGTGGGCACTGGCCATGGCTCCTTGCTCTTCTATGATGTCCAAGCCCAGAAGTTCCTGGAAGAGAGGGCCTCAACCAGCCTTGACTCCTCCCAGGGGCCCGCAGGGAGGAAGATCAGGCTCACCTGCGGTAGAGGCTGGCTCAACCACGATGACCTGTGGGTGAACTACTTTGGTAGCATGGATGAGTTCCCCAGTGCTCTTTACACACACTACTACAACTGGTCAGAGATGAAGCTCTTTGTGGCTGGGGGACCTCTCCCTTCAGGCCTCCACGGGAACTATGCAGGCCTCTGGAGCTAAGGATGGCCACTGTGTTTTCCAAGTGCCAGATTTTTCCTGTAGTCCACTCTCATTTTTCTTCACACCACCACCATCTTTTTTTGCCTTCTCTTGCAAATAATTTGGTTAATCTTAATTGTGTTCTCTCTTTGAGTGATTCACACATATGTTATTTCTCTGGGCTAGTACAGTCATGGTTACCATTATAATTTGGTACTTTAGTTTTTTCCAGTATTTCAACAGTATGTATGTTCAGTTCACATTTCTGATGTATGTTATGTCAGGAAAATGTGTGCTAAAAAAGTCTTTTGGGCTGGTCTGAGGAACTACCCATAATATAACAGGGCAATTTTATAGCCGTGCTCAAATTAGAGAATGCATTTCAAGTTTCATTTGGATGTTGCAAACTCATTGTTTGTTGTTTGTATATTGTTGATGCACAAAATACTTTAAAAATATCTTCTCTTAGGAAAACTTATGATGGTATTCATCCTATTAATTACAATTTTGATTATTCAATAGAAACTTAACACCAATACCCCAAGGCTCTCATTCTTGTTTTAAGCTGTTATATTATAGCCTGCTTTCTTGGGTAGCATTTATGCTACAGATTTTCAGAACTAACCAAAACTGGCCATTTTGTTGCAAGACAATCAGGAAGGTTCTTTTTAGGGTAAATATTTATTTAAAATTCAGGTAACATTATCCAGACAGCAATTTACAGACAAAGGCCGGCTGTTGTATTCAACGTGGTTTTGCTGACAGTGTTTTTTTTGTTGTTTGCTTGTTTTGTTTTTGTATTGTATACATGAATAATTATTTTATCTCGAATAAATTTGTGATGTATTCCACAAAAAATAAACATGTTCAGCATTTTAACAATTAAGTGTTATACTAAAAGTTTTGAATGCTTAAACACACATTTTTTCTTAGCTGCCTTTACAGGAATATATTTATGAAAGTCAAAATCTTTCAGGAGAGAAACTGAAGCTGAAACATCAGCTATGCATACATTACTTTGTACATTTGTTTTGAAAAGCAAACTTATGCTACTAACATGGGTTAAAAGATTAACATCTTGAACACATAATATCTAAATGTACTTGCTATAAGTTAGGACAGTTAGGTGTCATCTTGGATGATTTAACAAACTTTTTCATTTACAAAAAATACATGGTATGCTTATAACTACCTACTCACATATACTGTATATTTGTGTATGTGTATATGTTACTTCCCATGTGAGGAAATACATAAATATATATAATTTTATGAAGATATTTTTAATATTTTAAATTATAGCCATCAAGACTTTCTGCTTGCTCTTTATTTTGTTTTGTATTTTAATTTAAATTAATACATGCACATGACCAAAACAATCATACTTTATAAAAGTTGTACCATGAAAAGTAAGTCTAAAACCCTGGGTTCCCAAACCTTCTGCCCATACATCACAAACAGTACATTAGTGTGCCTGTCTATTTAGAGATAGTCTATGCATATACAAGTGTGTATGGATGTATGTATGCAATTGGTGTACACATGATAGCACATGATTCACATGCATGTGCCTTTTTATCACTAAATCTTAGAGACTGTTTCTTACATATAGCTACCTAATTCATCTTAATTAGATAGTAGTCCCTATATGGTTGGAACTTACATTATTTATTCATTATACCTTTAATGAGCATTTATATTGGTTCTTATTTTCTGTTACTATGAAGTATTCCACAGTGATTACTTAAGTACATACACCTTTCTGCACATATGTAAATATATCTTTAGGATAAATTCCTGGAAATGAAATTGCTGGGTCAATTTTATATTTAATAGTTATTGCCAAATTACCCTTCAAAGAGATCCTACCAACTTAACCTCCCATAAATAATGTATACACTCCTGCTTCACCACACCTTTGCAAACAGTGTGTCATTAAATTCTGTGCTCTTTGCCAATGATAGATCCACTTAATCTTGATCCTTTCTTTCTAAGCCATGGTGGCTGAGTTAATTAGATTTGTGGTCAGAGTATAAGTAAGTTCTGAAACAAAGATCAAGAATATTAGGAAATGAGGGCAAGCAATAAAAATATTGTCAAGCCAAAGGCAGAGAACACCACAGTTCAGATTTACATATCTGGACATAGACCGCAAAGGAGTAAATTCCTTAGATACTTAGCTATACCTAGGGGGCTTTCCTGGTTTATTGCACTCTGGATTCACTTATATTTAATGCTTCAGATGTCAGTGAAGAAAATACAAGAAGGAGATGATGAAAGGCTGAACTAGGATATCTGAAGTAAGTGTGGAGAGAAATTAAGTTATTTAAAAAATGAAGGAAAATAAAATGTGCAAACAGTATTTTGTATTTCATGTGAAGGGTGAAGAAAGCCAAAGAGTTTAGGTGGACTCCAAGGCTCCAGATTGAACCTAAATGAACATCGGCAACAAATGAATATAGGAACGTAGACAAAGAGGATACACATGGAGGGTGATCTACTTGACTAGGCACATGTTGAATTTGAGGTAGCTATGTGACATCAGGAGAATATACCCAGCGAAGACTTAGCTGTATAGCCCAGAATTCTGGGAAGATGAATGGTATGAAATTCTGGGAAAGTCTCCTTTTAGAGTCAATCACAATAGAAAAGCCTATTAAGGATCCTATAAAGCAATGAGAAATAAAAAGGGGGATACAAAATAAAAATGGCTTGTTTTACCCAAATTCTGTGACCTCATAAGCTTAAGAGAACAAAATTTTAATACTAAAATTACAATAAATTTTGAGTCTCCACTTCAGTTCTTAAGAGCAGTTTTTATCCCAGATATACACTCCCCCTCCCTTAATATTTGCCTAGAACCTTGTATCCATCCACTAATTAAGCTTTTTCATTGGTCAAATGCTGGTACCTTTTTGGAGAACTGAAAGTCAGACCTTAGCCACAAAGCAGGACTTCACAGTGATTTCTGGACCACTTAGCCTGCTGTTCTGAGATGTCTCCAGCACCCCCAGTAGCCTGCTAGCACCAGCATTGCCAGCAGCCTCACAGAGGTAAAGGATAGCCTCACTGCCATCTACTCCTGGCCTATGTTTGTGTTCCCACCTCAGTGACATAGGTGCTGGTCTCTGCCAATTTTCCCAGGCTGCCAAAGGACAAAGGAAATGTCCAGTGAAGAATGTTCCATTTTTTAGCACAATCACAGAAGTGTAAATACAAAAAAAAAAAAAATTAGAAATGAGAAAGAAGAAATAATCACAGGTATAGATTTATTAGGCAGGCAAATGTAAAGTATGATAAAAAAATATTAAGTTATTTGTTTGAATTTATACCAAAAAAGGCCACCTGAAAAGATACAAATAACTCAACTTTTTCCAGGAAGAAATAAGAAATTAAAACAGACCATTAACCCTAGAAAATTGTGAATGTTTTAAAATCTGCCCTTTTCTCCAAAAAAAATCACACATAAACACATAATTATAAACATATAATAGGTATGTTAGGTCTAATGGTCACATAAATTATTTCTCATTGTCAAGAAATATTTAATTTTGAGCTGCTTCAGAGCATAAAGAGAAACGATTACTCTTTTATGAGGACAGCATAATTTTCATGACAATCCTGAATAAAATTACACAAAATTAAAATAGATCAGTTTTACATATATAGATAAATGAAACTTATACTATTAAAACACTGAATGTAATCCATCATTGTATTAAAAGGAAACTATAGTAATGCAAAGAAAAGATAGTTCCTTGAGTACAAAATGCTCACTATTGATAAATCTATTATTACAATGTATCACATTAACAGGACAAATGGGAAGACACATGTTCACATTAATAAAGTCAAACCCTGACTGGTGTGGCTCAGTTTGTTGGGTGTCATTCTGTGCGTAGAAAGTTTTTCTGTTTAATTCCTGGTGAGGGCACATGCCCAGGAGGCAGCCAGTTGATGTTTCTCTCTCCCTCTCCCTCTCCCTTCCTCTTTGTCTAAAAATCAATACAAATATTTTAAAATAAATAAATTCCAATAAAAAGTTTAGTAAAACCCTATTACAATTTTCATAAAATCCTTAGTAGGACGAAATATATTCTTCATGTGGTGACTATGTGTGTGTTGTGTGTGTATGTGGGTGTCTGTGTTGTGTTTCACACATAAACAAGAATCTCTTTTAATGGTACAACATTAGAGGAATTCCTGTGAAAGTAAGGAACAAAACAAGGATTTTAAAAATCACCACCATTGTGAAAATTTATATTATGAAAATTTTAGATATAGCAAGTAAAATTGATAGCAAAATAAAAGGTATAAATATTAGAAAAGAGAAAGCAGTTTAAAAAAAGCCAACTGAAAAATACATTACAAAACAATGGGCCTGGCCGGTTTGGCTCAGCGGTTAGAGTGTTGGCCTGCAGTTCAGAGAGACCCAGGTTCTGTTCCCGCTAAAGGCATGTACCTCGGTTGCAGTTTGTCCCAGGCCCTGGTTGGGTCGTGCGGGTCGTGCGGGTCGTGCGGGTCCTGCGGGTCCTGCGGGTCGTGAGGGTCGTGAGGGTCGTGCAGGTGGCAACCACTTGATGTGTCCCTTTCACATTGATGTCTCTGTCTCTCTATTCTTCTCTCTCCCTCCCACTCTATCTTATCAAAAAATGAAAAAAAAGGAAAACAATGAAATAATTTAGTAAGATATCCAGTTTTGAAATTAATACATAAAAAATCAATACTTTTCTATTTTCACTTATTTACTCATTAAGCAAATATTTATTGAATGCTTACCACATGTACTGTTATATACCCATACAGGAGCTAGAAATACTATGGTGAACAAAACAAGCAAGTCATGCTCTAATAAGTTGTGGTACCCTGAGAAGGAAAGATATAATAAACATATACTTGTCAGTGCTAATAACTAAAATAAATCAGGGTAAAAGAGAATAGGGGATAAGAATTCCAGGAGAGATTAATTTTATTATTTTTATGAGATATTACAGACATACAACATTACACTAGTTTCAGGT